AAACATTCCAAATGGATTAAAGGAGCTCTGTGCAAGACTGTCACCATAATCCAGTCAGTAAGACCTGGACTGAACGTAGAGTTTTCTTTCTTTCTGAACCAGAGGCTGGTGATAGTCTTACCAGGGGTAGCTACAGAGGATCTTCTTGAGGAACAGAGAGGCACTTTGGGACACGTTCTGGTAGAGTTTGGAGAGGTCGAACTTTACCGCCTGGATCCTGGCTTCAGTCTCCTGAGGATCGACGTCCATGAAGGGAGATCTGCCACTCAACCTGAGGAGTGAGAGAGAGTTTTGGACCAGAACCTTAACAACGAGGATGGATTCGATTAATTAAAAATGCTAACGAACAACCAAACTTGGACAAAGAATATTCTGGATCATATTTTTTCTCATATTTAAGAAGGAAAAGAAAATATATATTTTAGTTTAATGGCAACCCAGACGGACAGAGAAGGAAGAACAAAGAACATTGTTCTATTTTCTTCTCTCTGTATAAAGGACCTAATGAACGAAGGCTGTTAAAGCAGAACTCACATGAGGAAGGTCAGAACGCCCACACTCCAGATGTCAGTTGGAGGTCCGACTACGTCACCTTTCAACATCTCTGGAGCTGCATGAAAAAAAAAAAGTCAATATATCGTTGTGTCTATAGTATTGCAGTATATTGCAGTATTGTTGCCCCTGTAGATTCTTTCTACTTCTAACCCTTACACATGTACTCCAGTGTTCCAACGGGGGGGTTGAACTGCTTGAGGAAAAGAGGGTTGAAGTTCTGAGCACTGCCAAAGTCAATGATCTTGATGACGTTCATGTAGGTGACAATAATGTTCTCTGGTTTGATGTCCAGGTGGAGGATGCGTCGGTTGTGAAGGTAGTCCAGACCCTGGAGGATCTGCAGGATATAGTTGACCACATCATCCTCAGAGTAACGGAATCTGGAAGACAACGCACCGGTGTTTACGTTGACGACAAAGGTTGTTTTTTTTTTATTTCTACAAGGTCAGACTGTGAGCGGGCTGTACCGGTCTATGATGCTGTGGAGCAGCTCTTTTCCGCTGCAGTACTCTGCGATGAGCACCAGGTAGCGTGGCGTGACGTAGGCCTCGTGCAGAGCCATGATCCTGTCATGATGAAGAGACTTGAGGATGTCATACTCCTGCAGCACGGTCTGCTTGGTGTCCGCCTCGTACGGAACAATCTTGGCCATGTACAGGTTTCCTGTGGCGTTCTCTCGGCACTCACGGATCACGCCAAAGCGCCCCCTGTAGGAAAGGGGAAGTAACAACGCAGCAAACCATGATTTACTTATGTTTCTTCATCTAAAAAACACCTGAAGCCTCTTAACAAAGAACGAAACAAAAAAACACTCTCTCTGTTTTGTTCCAGTAGTACAGTAGTCTCAGGAGTGCTCTGGCGCCCCCCAGGGGGAGTGTACCACACACTGTTTGGTTATAAAAACCTTCTGTTCTGTAAGCAGTTGTTACCTTGCTTTCTCGTCCATGAAGGTGTAGGGTTTCTGTGGAACTCCCTGCCGCAGAGATCCCTCACTGGCTTTGCCCACCGGTGTCCTGCGTCCAGACGGCGTGATCCGCCCCGATGGCGTCAGCCGTCCAGATGGGGTGGCCCTGCCGTCAGCTCCCTGCAGCACCACAGGCGTCAGGCTCTGCACCACCACCACGGGCGGTGAGAGGGTCGCAGGTGTGACTGTTGCTGCGGCGGTTGTTGTTGTTGTTGTTGTTGAAGTGGGTTGACAAATCGGAGGAGGTCGTGCGGGTGCCGCCGGCACGTACACCGGTAGAAGGTTTCCCGATGACGGCAGCGGGGGGGGGGTCTGGGGAGGGGGGCTTGGTGGTTACACTGGGGGGCGCAGTCATAGGACTTCGAGGTTTGGGAGGAACAACAGGCGGTGACGTCAGCTTGGTTTGGGGTTTGCTGACGCTGATGCTCAGGGTGGTTTTGGCTTTGGCTGGTGTGGTTTGGACGCTTGTTGTGGTGGCGGTCTGAACTGCAGGTTGAGCGGTTGTAGCTGCAGTAACAGAGGAAGTGACGACTGGAAGAGGCTCAGCAACTTGAACGGCAGGTTTGATGGTTATCGGAGAGGAAGTCTTAGTCACTGATACAGTGGGAGCTGAGGTAGAGGGGGGCGGAGTCAGAGCGACCGTCACCGTAGAGTTACTTGGAGCTGGTTTGATAAGAGGCACTTTCATGGATGACATCATCACAACAGGGGGAGCAGGTGACGGTGCAGAGACGGTCTTCACCACCACAGCAGCACTGGATTTAACTGGTTCTTAGGTTAGAACAGACAGTGAAAAAAAAAACACAAGTCAATTTTGGTAAACACAAAATTAAAACTTTTATCTGTGACGTTCCCGTTCGGTCTGGATGTTGGAAACACCTACCTGAAGGCTCCAGCCTCACCAGCTGGGAGACGCTGCTGTAGGGGCCCTGGCCGGCCTTGTTAACGCATGCCACCCTGAATCTGAATGAGCCCCCTGCTGGCAGGTCAACTACATTGTAATAACAGTCAGCAACCCCTGTGGCCACAATCAGCCAGTTGGTTTCACCTGTGGAGGAAAATCAGGTCATAATATTCACATCAGGACTGAATGGGAACTGAAACACATTTCAAATCTCAAATTTCTAATAACCTTCAGTTTTCCGTTCCAGGGAGTACGTGCAGGGAGCCATGGTGTCAGAGGGTCTCCACAGCACCAGAGCAGTGTTGTTATACTTCTGTGGAATCTCTGGAGTTCCAGGGCGGTTGGGCAGACCTGGGGACGCATCGCAGGGATGTTTTATTTACAGTTATTTTACAGAGATTTTGACATTTTGACAACTGCGTGTTTTCTTTCTCCTTACGGGCAAGAGATATTGTGCACGAGCTGGACATGGAGGCCAGCGGGTTCGTAGCCACACACTCATAAACGCCCGCGTCCTTCTTGGTCGTGTGCATGATCATCAGCAGCTGCCGACCGTCAGGGCAGGCAATCATGTTCATCCTGGCATCGATCTCCAGGGGCTTCTTGTCTGAGGGAACGAACGCGCAAAATTTTTTTTAAAAATCCATCAGACAACTCTCCTTTTGTAGAATTCTGAGAGCCGTATTTAACCATCTGAAAACTCCACCTTTTATCCAGTTGACTTGTGGGTGGGGGCTGCCAGCCGGCAGACAGCTGAGTGTCACTGGGTCTCCCTCCAGCAGGACATGATCTCTCAGCTTGATGTGGAACACTGGAGGGAAGTCTGACAGCGACAGCCAGAGACAACAGAACAACAGGCATATATTTATACATATAACCAGCACATGTACAGCACATACATCATACCAACCCACACACAGCCACGCCCACTACTAGTTTCTGTTGTGTACCACTGCAGTCAATGTTTCCTAACGCGTCACCGACCTGAGGCTAGCTTGGAGTATTGACGTGATCGTATGGAACTGTTTTCTCTGGAGATTGCCGATGGTATGTCAGGCTGTGACACCGTCTTGTCTCGCCTCCCTCTGGTCAGGCCCCATCTATCCCAGCGAGATCTGTGCTCCACCTCCACACCTTTTAGAGAGAAAAAATAAATAATAAAAGTTTATATAAAAATAACAATTATTGACAATGAAACGTGAAGGTTGAGTTTTTTTTTTTTTTTTTAAATACCTCTGGATGTGTCGGCTCTCAGAGGAGACATGGTGTCTAAAGACTCTGATGAGGTACCAGTCTGAGCTGCTAGCTGGTTTTGAACGTTCGGTACCTTAATATTTCGGGTCTCTGATGTTGCACGACGAAGGATTGACAGAATGGGTGTTCTTTTTTGTTCCTTTTCCTCCAAGGACCGCCTCTCCTCCGAGTAGCTGCGAATTCTGGTAGAAATCCCTGCCACTGTCGATTCAATCTTCCTTCGCATCGCCAACACTGGGGATTCATTAGGTTTTTTCACCTCTTTTTCATCCTGATCAGCTGAGGGATCTGCAGGTTTGTCCGTGCGCGTCATCTCCACTTCCTTCTTGTCCTGTGATCCTCTTCGGCCAAGAGACCAAGACAGCCTGCGTCTGGAGGCACCTGAATCCTCTTCCTTGGTGGAGTCTTCTTTGCGTTCAGTGGATGGAGATCGTTTCAGGCGCATGGAGAGTCTCCTCATGAAGCCTTGGTCTTTCTGAGCTTCACGGAGATCCTGGACTGACTTGGACTTCTCTTCTAGTCTCCTTGGGCCCAGTTCCAATGGTGCACCAATTGGTCCAGGTCTGTATATCTCTTCACCAGCCTCTGTGGAGTCAGAGGACGCCAGGGACTTTTCATCGTTCCTGGACCTGGATAAAAACTTAAGACTCCTCGAAAGAGAAGATTCACGCTTTTTGAAGCGAGCCTCAAAGACTTCTTCAGAGGTAATGTCTTCTAAATCTGCTCCGGCCGAAAGCTCTTGTTGTGAGGAAAATTGTGTGGCCAACCTCGGAGGGCTGGGTTCTTTTGAAATCAACTCTGGTGATGCTACCCTTGAGTAAACAGCCGGGTGTTCTGTGGATGACGCGGAGGCCGGCTTTGTCAGGGCTGAGGGTACGTTGGCCGTGGAGGGTGTGGACAGAAACGTTTCAGTCAACGCTGCAGGTGTCGACGAGGCTGGAGCGGTCGGTGTTGACGACTCACTGACGGGCTGGAGTGAAGGAACCATAATGGTTTGCATGATACTTGCGTATGCTGAAGTCGTTCCATCTGGAAGAACAACACGTGGAGGAAGTGAGGGTGTGACGTAGGTGGGTACGACACTCGTTGGGGGATGAGAATTCTCCTGTGTTGGGCTCAGCACCACTGAGCTTGTGGTTCTAACCATCTCAGATGACGTATCTGTCATATGAACCTCTTCTACTTCTTCTACCTCTACTCATATGAACCTCTTCTACTTCTTCTACTTCTTCTATCTTTTCTACACTAACATCTACATTTTCCTTTTCAACGTCAGAAACACTGACAACTTTTTCCTCTTCCATGACCTCCTCACTTTCTTCACACTCTTTTTCATTCACTTTTTTCTCATCCATTTTCTCTTCTGGTTCAGAGGACTGGACCACAGAAGGAGGCGTGGGTACTCTTTGGTCCACGTACTCGGCTTCAACCATGGGTTCCTCTGATATACTCATATCCTTTTCTGAGAAGCCACTGGTGCTCGACCTTTCATCAAAGTTACAGTCTGTAGTCAATCCATCCATCTTCTCACTCGTTATCTCATCGGTTTTTATCTCTTTTTCCATTAATGATTCTTCACTTTCAGTTTTAGTCGGGCTTTCCTGCACCACAGATTCTGGAGTGGGCGGTCTTGGCGACGGTTCTCTCGGAGTCACTGGACGAGAATTTAGGTTGATTTGCTCAGTTAGAGCTGACATAGATATGGCTTCTTTCAGCCTTCGTTCCTCGGTCTGTGCCAAGGGAATCTCCAGGGGAGCTCCTGACCTGCGGTGGAGGATTATAGGCTCTGAGTCGCCTTGACTAAAAGATGCACTTTTGCGCAAAACTTTAGACTTGGAAACATCATCTCTGGGAGAGTCACTAGACGCAGCTCTAACGAGAGGTGGCGGACATAAACGATTAGTCCGCGTGAACCGATCTGAAGATATCGGTCGTTTCTCCTCACCCATCCCCAATGTTTCCAGCAGTGGCCCTCTGAGTCCGCTCATCTTGTTGTCCACAGAACCACCGCGCAGCAGTCGCTGCCTCATCATTTCCAGTTTAAGTGCGTAGTCCTCCTGACTCATTTTGGTGGTTCCTGGGCTGGGGCTTCTTCTCGGCAGTTCCATGGAGACGGCCTTTTTCAGAACTTTCCTGCCGTTTTCTTGACTTCCTTCTCCAGCTTCTTCCTCTGGTTTGATACGGAGCAACAAGGCACTGTCAGCTGAGCCCCCCCGTCTGAGTTCCCCTCTGCGTGGTCCACTCACTGGTTTGTCTGACTCCACGCTGGACCCTCTCTGCAGAGGTTTTCTCGACAGCTCTGACTTCTGGGGCAGCTCCGCCGGCGGCTCCTCGTCCGAAGAACTCTTGTCATTGTCTTGCGATGACGCCCTTCGGTACCGGCTCTTTGCTTTGCTTGAGACTTCAACAGTTTTACCTATTTCTGGAGCTTCACACTCCATCATCTCCTGAGTTTGAACAGGCGACCCTGACGATGTACCGTTCCCGTTCATCTGTCTGGATTCACTGTCGTTGGTCTGGATATCAGTCAAAGAGATCCTGGATCCAGAGAATTCCATGTGCAGGGGCATCGGGATAAACGGCAGCTCGTCGATATCTTCATCGGAATCTGAGGACGATGATGGCAGAGGTGAACCCCCTTTGAGATGCCTGGCAACGGCGATGGATATATGATTGGAGGAATCGTCCAGCAGTTCAGGTATGGACCTCAGGACCATTTTGGATTTGTAGCTGATGAGGGAACGCTGAAAAGACCAGAAGAAATGTATGACATATTTGAAATGAAACAGACGATGAGGTGAATAATGTGCAAATAAACTGCCTCAGAGGAAATACCTGCCACTTCCTTCTCAAGACAAACTTTTTAAGTGCCTCTGTACTTATAGCCTTTCCTTCACTGGTTGTCTGTAAGGAAAACAAAAATTTAAATTTAAAATTAAATGTTTCAATCGATAAAATACTTTTTTTTGCTGTGGAAGGAAGTAGTGGATAAATGGAGGTTTTACCTTGAACCACGGGTGTCTGAGACACTCCTGGGTGTCTGGTCTCCTACAGACAAATAAAGAGTTTATTTCAGTCAATTTAATTTTATAATAGTTAACTTATCATTTATTGAAAAATGTGTTTTTTTTGTGAATATTCACTGAATAGCTTTAGAATATTTACAAAGTAAATGATCAAAGTCTTTGTGTTACTCACAGTCGGTCGGCTACCAGCAGCTTTATAATAAAACCTTTGGCCTCCCGGCAAAGGTCGGCAAACATGCTCTCCTCGAAGGCCACGTTATAGTTCCTGATGTTCAGCACTGAACTGCGGTCGTTTTCACCCGCGAATGGAGAAACTCCTGTCAGACTGACGACAGAGACGAGAACTTTAATCACCAGCGTCAAAAAGAGTCAAAAAGTTCTAAGACAGATGGGATCATCAAGTGTTTAGTTATCCAAATTTGAATGAAATTAATTTGTCTTCCTCTATTAGAAATAACTCACCACAGATATGCAATAACTCCCACTGGCCTGCACACACACACACACAAAAATAAGAAGATAAATGAAAATGTTATTACGACAATAAAACATGTTTTTATTTTTTTAAATGAAAAGTCTTTCTACCAAATATCTGTCGCTCTTGACACAGGCGTCTGGTTGACTATTTCTGGTGCCACAAATTCTGGCGTGCCATATTTACAGTACTGGGCCTCGTCAGGCGTGGTCATCACCGCATTGCCAAAGTCACAGATTCTGACTTGGTCAGAACGTGGATCTGCCATTAAGATGTTATCAGGCTGAGGAGAAAATGATTAATGAATGATTTTTGATTTAAACGCCAACTGTTGTATGTGTTAGTTTTAGTGATATTTATTTCAGTGTAATTTATACAATCGTTGATTAACCTTGATGTCCAGGTGTATGATGCTCTGATGATGGAGGTAGTCCAACCCCTCCAGCACCTGCTTTATACATGACTGTACCTGGTTCCCAAAATACAAATGTGTTAGTAACGTTGTCAATTTTTCTGCCACTAAATTTCATTGATTCGTTTATTTTTTTCACTAAAAATAATAATTAATATTTTTGCAGAACTTACATCAGAATCCATCACCGTTGATTTCTTAATAAACCGGTCCAGCAGCTCTTCATGACATCTTTCAAGACGTGTTAAGGTTATTGTGAGTGGCAGGGGTTCTCAACCTAGGGTGCACGTGGCACAGATGGTACCCTGTGTTCCCTGTTCTAGTATCAATCGTATCAATGAAGAAGGATACAGTTCTGTGATGATGACGACTGTATTTTTTTTCTGAAAGGCATCGTGAAAGTAAAGCAGTCTTTCGTGGTCAAGCTTGGAAAGCAGGTTCATTTCTCTCACAGCTGACGTTTTCTTCTTGGCCCGTGTGGAGATGAATTTCGCTGCGTACTCCGTCTTGTCCACTTTCTGGGTCACACGTTTGACATAGGAGAATGCCCCTCTGAAATAAAGATGAAGGGATGAGCTGAAAATGATTCTTTTTTTAAATTCTGATTATGTAATTATTAGCCTCATCAGTGTAGACCACAGCATTGGTCTGTAAAGTCATTTGGTTGTTGTTTTTTTTATTTGAAGTATCACATGACCTTTTGGTGCAATGACTGCCATGTTTTACCATCGATACTACAAGTGAGACGTCCAAACTCTATGGTAGGACAACGACAAACTGGACTGCACCGTGTTTTTATGTAAATGTTATTAGTTTTCGTGCCACTTTAACCCCTTACCTGCCTATTTCTTTATGGACGTCATAGTAGTCGGTCAACCTTCGCATTTTCCTCAGAATAGTCTCCTCATCATCCACGGAGTCCTCCTTACTTTTAGCTACGGGACAAGAGAGCGATTAGGTTTCGATAAATGAAATTACTCAAAATACATGAAAGTTTTTTTTTTTTTATGTCACCACCAGTTACCTTCGTGAACCGTGAGCTCGGCTTTACAAGACACAGATCCTGCCAGGTTCCTGGCGGTGCAGGTGTAGACTCCAGAGTCCTCCGGTTGTGCGTTCAGGATCACCAGGGAACATTCGTTATCATCGTAGACAAAGGTGAAATGACTGCCCTCGGACAGCAGGACGTCGTTCTTAGAAAAAAATGAAAACAGGTTCTGGTTCAGGATTACTTTACACACTGAGATAAAAAAGGAAAAAAGTCAAATTTGTTCAAAACAAACCTTGAACCACAAGATGTCAGGAATGGGTTTGCCTTCCACGACCACAGCAAATTGTGGTAACTCTCCAGCGCAGACGTCCAGGTCCTCCATGATGGTTTCAAATGTTGGTGGCGCTGCAGGCGGAGAAGCATTAAAGCATTAAACTGGACACAGACCAAACGACGACACAGACGGACAGGTGTTTGGACCTGCAGTACCTGCCATCTCCACACTGAAGGTGCAGCTGTCGTTGCCATACTTGTTAGAGGCCATGAACAGGATTTCTCCCACATCAGAAGCCTTGACCTTCAGCAGCTTCAGCGTGTGCTGGTCGTCATCCGGCATCCCCATCTCATACAGGCCCGGCTTACTAGACAGCACCTCCCCCCTCCTGGGAAAGATATTTGTCGAGATGTATTGACACAGATCCTTCATTTGTCTGAGTGAAAACACTCTGCCCTTGTTATCACCTCTGCATCATTTGTCCTAACCTTTTACACCTGTCTCACTCTCATGTTTTATATATACTGTACATCAAACCTTTTAAATCATAATAAACCCTTCAGACTAGACACAGTTACCTCTTCCAGATGACAACAGCGTTGACGTGACTGATGGTGACGGTGATTGTGACTGACTGGTTCTCCATCACATAAACAATCTCTGGCTTATCCATGATCACAGGGGACTCCTGGAGATAAGGACCTGAAAGGAAAGAAAGGACAAATGATGATTAACCCTATCGTATCGTGAGTTGAGTGTATTTTTTTTTCATCTCTATTCTGGGATAAAAGAAGTAAAAAGACACCTCTGTCCAGAAGCTGCACTGGGTCAGTTGCAGGAGAAGGTTTGCTGAAAGCCTTGGAAGTGATGGTCAGAACTCTGAAAGCATAACGCACGCCTTTGGAGAGGGTGGTGATGGTGTAGGTGGTGTCCTTCAGACCGGAGGCGATGATGGTCCACTGGATGGAGCCCAGGGCTTGTTGTTGAATGGCATACATCAGCGAGCTGGGGTCTGAAGAAGAGTCACAAAACTAATTAAACAAGAAAAATGGGAGCTGCAGATAAAAAAGACTGGAGAGGATTTGCTGTGATTTAAAATTTTTGTTAATTTTTAGAGGTTGATAATAATGATCAAACTGAAGGTAACATTTTAATTAAACGCCTCAAACACTTAGAGCCAATTTCAACGATTCAAATCAGAAACCTTGGAAACAAAAAAAGATCAGTCCTGGGACTTTCTGATTCACCCTCTTGCTCTCGTTTCCTCAGTCTCCTGATTTAACCATTTTATAATGTTTGTACCAATAGATGGGTCCAGGCGTCTTGGTTTCTTCCAGCTCAACGACACAGTTTTTCCAGTGATTGACTCAACCACAGGCATCCCATCAGGAGGATCAGGGAGGATATCTGAGGACAGTGGGACACAGCAGTACTGAGGATTATGGGAGATCCTCTCAGTCAGTGTAAACTGTGGACCAAAGCTTCAGTTGGAGGTGATGCACTGGTACCTGTCACATAGAGATGAGCATAGCAGGTCGCCTTGCCTACTTTGTTAGAAATGACACTCTTGTAGACCCCCCCGTGGGCGTGGCACACAGAGCGGATGACCAGACTGTGGATGTCGTGGACTGCAGAAGGAAACAGAAAAGGAGTTTGTGTATCTTTGGAACCACAGGTGGATCGAAGCGGATGAAGAAACTCTTACACTGAGTCATCTTTCTGTCCTCCGTGCTGTCGATCCTTTTCCCGTTGTGGAACCAGACGATTGTTGGGTAGGGTAAACCGGCCACTTTACATTTCAGCACAGCCTCCTTCCCCTCGATGACGTCCAGATCATAAAGAGGTTTGATGAAGTCCGGCATGGTCAGACGCTCCATCTCGTTCTCCGGCACCTCCGGTTCCTCAGGGATGGACGGCATCTTCTCCAACTTGGCCCTGAAATAAAAACAAACAAATAAACTCTGACCGTTGTCAGGTTCCCACAGAAGTCCATCCTAGAATGGAAGGGAAATGCCTTACATTTGTGAGGAGATAGCTGGCCGTGGTTCTTGGATGTAAAGTTCCGCCGAGCTTTCGGCCTCACCGTGACGGTTACGGGCGATAACGGTGTAAAATCCCTCATCGTCATTGGTCACATGGGAAATGATCAGAGAATGGCGGCCTCCTTCCTGAATGATACGGACATCCTCACTTTCTGAGAGCGGATGGTCTAAGGAGAGAAACAAGACTGTGTCACAAAGCAAAGCAATATATTGAGGGTTTTTTCCCCCCCTGGTGTAACTGAAGTCTACATTTGGAATCACTAGAGAAGAAAGAAAAGAAAAAGAAAATCCCACTGATTTACCGTTTACCTGTGATGCTGCACTCTTCGTTGTTTTCTTATAGTTTTTAATGGTTGTTGTTTTGAATTAAAGATATATTTATAAAGGCATTTTAAAACAACATCCTACCAAAGTGAGTCCACGTGACCGAGGGTGATGGCGTCCCACTGACTTTACAGTCGAAACGAGCATTTCGTCCTTCAATC